TGGGTGGAATATGGGATATATCTGAGTGGAATATGGGATGTATTTGGGTGAAATATGGGATAAATTTGGGTTGAATATGGGATATGTTTGGATGGAATAAGGGGTACATATGGGTGGAATATGGGATCAATTTGGTTGAAATAGGCGATATATCTGGGTGGAATATGGGGTGTATTTGGGCGGAATACAGGATCAATTTGGGTGGAATAGGGGATATGTTTGGGTGGAATATGGGATAAATTTAGGTGGAATATGGGATATATTTGGGAGGAGTATGTGACTTTCAGGCACAAAATGCCTGTCTGGATCAGACTGATGGAGTCAGAAAGATGAGGATGAAGCTGAGGGAGAAGGGGAAGGTTATTCCCTGCCAGAGCCCCCTGCATCCATTTCCAGAATGGCACAAACGTGGTCATTCCAGAGAATTTTCCCCTTTCTGAGRTTTTGGGGTTTCATGTCCAAGAGCAGAAGAATGAAGACAGATCAGAAATGCAAACRAAATGTTTTGAGCAACACAAAGAGGTTTTGGCAGCCCTGAGGAAGGTGGGAGGAGGAGATTTTTCTCTTCAAGAACTGCAAAATTATGGGGTTTGCTCCRAGGCAAGATGGAGCCTGAAACCTTAAAACCTTTCCTGAACTGAATTGCTGCCCTCAGCACACTCCTCCCTCCCGGGGTTGCTGCTTGGACTGAAACTGCCACGTTTCCATCATGCTGCTCATGTTGTGGAACAGACCTGGGAAGGAAAATAAACTCTGGCAAGCCGGTGGGGAGCAGGAGAAAGAAGGAGGGGAGATGAGACCTGACAATCTCCCCAGAGCTCYGAGGGAAAAACAGACCTGGGCTGGCTGGCAGGGAGTGAATCAAACTCTATTTTTGCTTCCTAGCCCAGGGTGAGGCTCGTGGCAGAAATGCCAGCTCTCATCATACCTTGAGCCCCACTTCTGTGCCCGTTTGCTGACCGCTGATGGCCTGAGCCAAGGAGCAGCCACAGCCACGGCCATTCCCTGGACACGCGGTGGGAGAAAAGGACAGCGAGGAGAATTCCCTTGGGGAAYGCAGGGAATGGACATGAACTGACTGTGTCCCCAAAGCAAACTTGGGATCGTGAAATCCATCAYGGGATGGGCTGGRAGGGACCTTAAAGCTCATCCAGTGCCACCCCTGCCATGGCAGGGACACYTYCCACTGTCCCAGGCTGCTCCAAGCCCCAATGTCCAGCCTGGCCTTGGRCACTGCCAGGGATCCAGGGGCAGCCACAGCTTCTCTGGGAATTCCATCCCAGCCCCTCCCCATTCTCYCAGGGAASRATTCCTTCCCAATATCCCATTTAACCCTGCACTCTGGCAGTTTGAATCCATTCCCTGTGTCCTGTCCCTCCATCCCTTGTCCCCAGTCCCTCTCCATCCCCCTTTGCAGGCTCCCTTCCCGTTTTCCTTGGCAGTGACACYGGAGGGATGAGCTGGAATCCCAAACCATCAGGTGGAGCTTGAATTGTTTTTGCCAGTCTGTCTCGAGTAAGTTTTAGTCTCCCTGTGAACMAGCTCAGCCCTGTGCCATCCCCATCTGCCCCGGGAGCACTGTCCCAGCTCCGGGAGCTGGATCAGCTCCGGCAGGCTGGGAAGGTCAGCGCCCGGCAAAGACTGGACAAAGCGGGATTCATCCCAACCCCACCGTCTCCAGCTGGATCMAAATCAGCTGGTCCAGGCTGGAGGTGCCCGACTCAACCTTGAGCGAGGTTYTGTGCCCTCCTGGGTGTGGGCAGAGCTCAGTTCCTGCCTCATTCCTGCCTGGAGGAGTCACAGCCGACAGCTCGGGAGCTGCATCCATCTGACAAAACTTGCTGGGATTTTTTGGCATTTCCTTGGCATGGCCCAGCGCTCTCCACAGTTATCCACTCCTCATCATTCCCTGACCTTTCTGCACTTCTCCTGCCATCCAAGAAATCGGGGAGTGTGGGAGACCTTCAGGATGCCCTGGCTCTGCGTGAGGAGATGAATCATGCTCAGCCCAATCCCACAGAAATGCCCTCTGCCCCGCACGGCAGCTCATGACTGTTTTTCTCTGCAGTAAATCTCCTTTCCCACATCCCTGCTCCAGCCTGGGTCTTCTCCCTCACACCTTCCACAAAAGCCAGGCTGCAGCTTTTCATCAGCCAGGAGATTGTGACCAAAAAGTGGATTTTCATCCCCGGGTTATTGAGATTTATTATTTTGTTAGGGCACGGCTAAAAATAAGACTGAGATTCTGGTGAAGTACCGGCTTTGCTGCTTCAAGGTGCTTCAGTTAAATGAAATCAAACAATTTCTGTTTAATCTCTGAATAGAAGAGAATCATTGAAGTAAAACCACATTTTTCACTCCTCCCCATGGCTGGAGCAGAATTTCCTCAGAGACTCTGCAGCCGCTGGGACGTGGAGCGGGGTTTGGAGGGTGAGGCTGCTCCTTCTGCAATTCAAATATTTGGACTGCATCCTCTGGGGGCTTCACTGGGATGTGACCCCCAGGTCCCTGAAGGGATTTCAAAGCCCCCTGCACATTTTTGTATCCAACCACAACAATTTTGATGTCTCAATTCTCAAACCAGGCTCTCCCAGGATGGGTTGGCTCAAAGGATGCAAAGCCCAGACAGGTTTTTGGAGAGCGTGCTGCACTGGGGGTGTTAAATCACCTCCCTCTACACAGCAGATTTCCAAATTTTCCAAATCCCAACAATTCCCGAGTGTACCAGACCTGCAGAGTAGCTCTGGCAGGGAGGGGCTGGCAGGATGCACACCCAGACGCCGGCACCGAGCTGAGCAGATATTTTTATTTTCCCTCTGACTCAGTGCGAGCACCCGAACGGGCTTTGAGGCACCRCGTYCTCCACGGGGAGCAGGAATAATTCRGGAGAGCAGGAACCACATGAAAACAACTGAAAATGAAACAAGGAAGGTGGGAAACACGGGGGGCTGGGGGTGGGATTGGGATGGGAGCAAGCGGGAGCTCAGCCTTGGCTGGGATCCCACTGTGGGGACCCCGCTGGGTCTCTTCTCCCCTCTCGTTTCTGATAAAGAAAARCGAACACAAAATTTTCCTTYTTCCCTTTTCCTAAGAAGTGTCTGMAGCRAGAGAACTTGAAATTACAGAGGACTCGAAATTACAGATTTTTTTCCGTGGCTGAGCCACAGATCTCCAGCTCCAGCAAACCCTCGGGGCTTTTCCAGCCAGTCAATAAGCGAGGGCAGCCTCGACCTGCTGCAGCGCTTGACACYGCTAAAATGCGTTTGGGGACTTGGGGAAAAGCAACAGGAAAAGGCAGCCCATCAGTGTTAATAAATGGTCAGGAGCACAGGGAGCAGAAAGAAAAAGCTACAAACAGCTTTGTAAAGCAGGAAGGGCCCTGGGGAGCTCCCCTGGCTACGGGAAACGCCGAGGAAAATCAGGAGCTGTCCCACTTCCCCCTCTTCCAGAGAACATGGGACAAGAGCTGTCCACGTCCCCACCCCTGCTACCCACTCACAAGTCCTGAAAAAGTGATCTGGCTCCAGAAGGAGCAGAGGCAGATCCATCCTGGCATTTCCACAAGGATCAGCCGCTCTGAGCTCTCAAAGGAAAACATTTCCCCCTTCCCACCAGGCTGGTCCCGCTGCCCTGGCACTGTCTTGGCTCCAAATGCAGCTGGACTGGGGCTCCCGTCCCCTGTCCCAAAGGTTTGGAAAATCCTTTCTGCTGGGAAGCACCGTGCCCTGCCGGTCCGACATTCCTGCCTCCCATCCCGCCGTTCATCCGAGCGGATTTCCACCGGACAGCTCTAAAGCAGGTCCACAAGGACAGGAACACCACGGATCTTACTTGGCAGGTGGGGAAACTGAGTCACGGGGCTTTGCCTCAACTTGAAGCAAATGGGATTGAGAACACAGAGCAAAAATTTAGCCCAGCCCGTGATCCGCTGCATCGCACAGCTCCGCTTTCCGTCAGACATGATTCCCGCTCTCCCTGATTTCCCACACTCACATATTTCTCCCACAGTCTTCTCTCAATTTGTCATCACTTTTCCCTTCTCCTCATCAACCACCTCCCCCTTTCTGGCATCCCTTCCTCTCCACCCCACCCCGCTGTGCCGGACAGCAGCCAGCTGTGGAGAGGCACTGGCCAACACCTCGGGGAGCCAAAACCGGCACGTTTCGCCCAAAGTAAAAAAATGTATTTAGGGACCTACCAGTCCACCTGGACTTCTATATCCCGTGTCTCTACCTTGGAGGGCGCATCTCCATCGCCGTCCTTACTGCCGCCCTTCAGGAGGTGCAGGACGGGCTCGATTTCTTTGAGCAGCTCATTGTCCTCCACGCCGCCGTTGAGGCAGGAGTGACCGCAAGCCCCGTCCTTGCCCTTCCCGCCGTCCGGCCCTTTGCCTCCGGCAACGACGCCGTTAACGTGGACCAGCGGCTCCACCTCCTTCCCGATTTCCCTGGTCCACAGGGAGCCCATGGCTGCCGGCAGCGGCTGCTCCTTGCCGGGAAYGCTCGGGTTGGACAAGTCAACCGCCTTGGGCGCCGGGCACAGGGGTCTGGTGACACGGACGGTTTTGGGYGTCCCGTCGCCGGCAAAGGTGGTCTCCAGGTGAGTGGTGAAGCCCTCGGGGCCCCGCAGGATGAGAACCACGTAGGTCTCGGAGGCGATGCTTCTCAGGATCTCCAGCGCCGCCTCATAGCTSGTGTCCACCAGGGGCCTGCCATTGACGGCTAAAATGATGTCCCCGGCCTGGATGAGGCCACTCTGCTCGGCAGCCCCGCCCCGGATCAGGTCGGAGATGATGACGGGYGGTTTGCTGACGCGCTCCTTCACCAGAAAGCCGAGGCCGCCCACCTTGCGCTTGAAGAGCCTCACCGAGATGACGTTGGGCTGGATCTGCTGCACGCTGAACACATTCTCTTCCATGGCAGCCCCCTCCTCGTTCCTGCACTCCGGGACCTCGACACCCGCCGGGCGCGGGGAAATTCGCTGCCGGAGGCACTTCCCAAGGCCGGGGTGGGAAGGCGCAACTCTGGCTTTKCAGGAGCCGGACTCACTGGAAAACTCCCCTGGGCTTCGGCTGCAGGGGGGCTTTCTGCGGCATGCTCGGTGGCACTGCGCTCCGAACGGGAGAAAACGGGGAATGTCACCCCTGGGAAGACAGGCTAGGGGCAGGGCGGGCAGGGCTGGGCATGGCGTGGAGTGGGAAACATTCCAACTTCCAGTCAGGGGCTGGTCCTGCGCCGGGCAGAGCGGGGGAGGCGGCCCGCTGGCTTCACCGGCATCCCCGCCGACCGTGAACGGGCTTCTTTATCTGGAACGGAGGGGAAAAAACAACAAAGGAGGGAGAAAAGTGAGGCAGGGCAGGAGGCAGTGGCTGCTGAGCACGGGGCTCGGCACGCCACGGGCACCGCGTCCCCACAGATGTCACCGCCCGGGCTGSGCTGGGGAGCCGGGCTGCAGCCTCGCAGCGCTCCGGGCTTTGTTTCCTCCACCCCTCCCTGCGAAAATCGGCACCATCTGCTCGGCGGGGGCGCGGGGGGAGCGGGGCAGCCCTGGCGAGGCGCYGCTGGGCACGGGCACTGCTGGGCAGCCTGGCTCGGACACTCCCTGCTCTGCCCACCCCGCCCTGCTCTGCCCACCAACAGGTAGAGCCGCGCCGGGCTCGCCGGTGATTTCTGCTCGCTGGTGATTTCTCGTCCCCACGGGTTTTCCGGAGCATCCGAGCACCTGATGGGTGAGRATCAGACAGGGGACGCGCATCCCTGCCCGGGAGGAAAGCCGTTCCGTGGGTGCTGTCACTCCGAGGTGGCTGCGGGAGGAGGAGCAGCAGCCACGAGCACAACGAGGGAGCGGAAGAGGCCGCTCAGCTCCCTTTTCCCGAGTTAGGAAAACASTTCCAAAGAAAACTGCCTTAAGGCTGGCTGGCTGCAGGGATCACCGCTCGGCTCCTCCTCCCCCCATGTTTCCAGCCTGGCACGGGGAGAAGGAGGCAGCGCTCGCACTCCCCCGAGCCCAGCCCTGCCATCCGGCTGCGAACTGTTCCCAMACCAACTGCTTCAGCGCAGGGAAAGCAGCGCCGGGAGAACCCGCMGGGAGCTCATCCCGCCCTCAGCGCAGCCGGGCATGGCCGGGAAGAGCCCTCGCAGGGCTCGGCAGTCACATCCCATCGACTCCTGATGGGACCCTCGCTCCTACACGGCCGCGCTTGGCTTCCGTACCTTCTGCTCCCCAGCCCTCCCCGAGCTCCCCTCGCCTTTCTCAGATGCTCTGGAGAACGCTTCTGCCCACGACTGTGCCCTGACATTTTGCATCGAGCCAGAGACTTCTCTTCTTTTTTAAACGCGAGTTTCGGGCAGGGAACAGAGGGCACTTGATGTGCTGCAGGCACTGTTAAAACAAGGAAAATTATCTTCTCTCTCCCCATATTCCAGGGGAAGATTTGCACCTTCAGCCCCCTCCCCTCTGCCTGAAGCTCTCTCCAGCTCCCAGATGGGACAAACAGGGATCTGAGGAGCGGGACAGTGTCCCCAGCCCCACTCGGGCACTTTAATCCTCGTGTGAGGAATGCTGCTGAGCCCAGTTGGCTTTGGACCGGCGAACTGGGGATAAAACCATTAGAGATCGATAACCCAAACCCATGGGTTCAACCCTTTCTCCAGCATCCAAAGGGTTAGATGCCACTAAATCACGGCCTCGAGGGTTAATTAACGCCCCAATTGCCAGGTTAATCCCTGCAAACGACCCGGGATGGGCTCACAGGGCTCGGGGCAGCAGAGCGGGATTGGGAAGGTCCCGGTTTTGGGGAGGATGGAGAGAAGCGGGAATTTGCTTCTACYAGACAGGTTCTGTCCCTTTCGTTCCTTCCTTTCCCATCCCGACCCCGCCTTCACAGCGCTGGACACGGTGGGACCCCGGCCGGGTTTCCCCTCTTTCCCAGGCTCCTCGGGAATSCCAGGAGCAGCTTCCTTCTCCCTGCCAGGTTCTGATTTTCCTGACCCCACCAAGGTGACCGTCACCCTGACGTCCAGGCCCGCCACTGAGTCACACAAAACTCCTTCCCGCCGCCTCAGCTGACGCCGTGGGCACAGAGGTGGCTTTGGAAGCCTCCCAAGTGCCACGGGAGCACGGAATGCCAGCTTCCCAAAAGGGTTTGCTCGGGATTCGCCATCGGCAGCGCGGCGCCCGAGAACGCCTCGCCCCGGGCGAGGTCTGTGCCCGTCTCGGGGGTCAAAGCCAGCGTGGGGACAGCCTGGCACGGCTCCCTGTCACTGCCAGGCGCTCCCAGCCGCTCCAGATGCTGCACAGCTGCAGGGGAGCCTGGATGTCCTTCAGCCCCGCTCGACCTTACAGCGAGACTTGCTGAGCTCGCAGGAAAGAGCTGAGGAACCCCCGGAGTTCAGTCCCTCGCTCTTCTCCCGCCAGGATAATTTCCAGCTATTTCCACGGAAAAGCGTGTAATTTGCTGTGTGTGCTCATCCCCAGGCTGCAATCCCAGGGAACGCCAGCGTTTCTAGGGGCTCATTGTTYCCCATCCCCAAAACCCAACTCAGCACTCCTTACAAAAGGGATGAGAAGAAAAAAAGTAGATTTTAAATGATATCTTAACACCATCCAGAGCTTTTTCTGTTGTTTTTTTTTTCTTTTCTTTTTTCTGCTGCTCCTCAGAGCCAGAAAAGTCAGAAAAGATCCAGAAGGCAAAGGGACAGGCAAGGAGAGTGAGGGGAACCAGCCCCTAAGCGCCTCAGCCCTCTGCCCCTTTAGGGAATAGTTGGATAAGGATTTTCACGGAATCATGGTATCATTTGCGTAGGAAATAATCTAAAAGTCATCGAGTTTGACCATTTTCCAGCTGGAAAGCTTTGCACAAACTCAGGCTGGAGAGAGGAGGGAGAAGGAGAGGTTCAGGGATGCGGGAAATGCCTGGGAGCGCTCGGAAGATTTCCCTGGTGAGGGTCGGGGATCTCCCATCCCAGCTCCCGACCTGTCCCAGATCAGATTCCAGAGGGGAGTAGTTTCAGGTGGAACCCAAACGGTTCCACCCTGTKGGTGGCTGAGCTGTGCTGAGCTCTGTGAGTCCACAGGTTCCCAGTTCTCCCTCCCAGCCCCATCAGGGCTCTGATTTATGGGCCCCAAAACCACAGGACCTTTRCCAGGTCCTTCATTTAAAGCTACTGCAGGGGTCAAGTCTAACTCCTYAAAACAGCGAGAGGTGGATGGAGTTTCATCAGGGTGGGGACAATTTTCCCACTCCAAAGGACAGACAGGAGATGGCAAATCCATGGGCAAAGCCAGGCTCAGCCCCCTGCTGGAATAAACCTCCACGGATGGTGCCATCCCACCCCCTGCCTCAGTTTCCCTTCCTCTTCCAAAGCACAAACCCAACTCAAACCATGGAAGAGCAGCACCCAAAAAAAGCCTAAACCCCAATCCTGACCCCAATCCCTGGGAACATCCCTCCCTTCAGGGAAGAGGTTTCCAGGGCAGAGGCACAGAGCAGTGATGAAGGCATTGGCTCGATGAACCAACGCCATGAGGATCTGCCAGGTAACATTCCAAGAACAAACCTCGGCACAAATGTTAACAGGATGATTCGATTTCCAAGGCAAAGCGGAGGAGAAATCAATCCTGAGAGTTTTAACTCAATCTCCTCGCTCCGCCGGGCTGGGCCGTGCCCAACAGCGGCTCCTCACCACGGCCATCCCGGCTGCCCTCAGTCCCGCGGATCCATTTGGAGCCCTGTTTTCCCGGCGATAATGGCTCCTGGATCCGCGTGCCAGCTCTAAATGGGCACCATTGTCCTCTTTAATTAGTTTTCGTGGGATTTATAGCGCTCGAGGAAGAGCCCCGGCGCTGATGGATTTATGCCCATTTAATTTTTACGACCCACGGAGCGTCAGAGGATGGGATGAGGAGCGCTGGGATGCGGCATAGGCACGGTTCCTGTAAACCTGTGCCTCTGAAAACGGAGCATTCCAGCGATTCCCGGCTCGCCTGTGCCAGCAGCTCCACACTCCATTCCCTGTCTGTGGCCTTTCAATCCCTGGAATTTCCTGAAAATGTCCCTCCACCTTTCTCTCATTACCCACCTCCCACCAGAATCCATCCAGGAAGGGCGAGACACTTTCCCTTCAAAGCCAAACCATGGTTCTGCTTCTCCCTTCCCGTTTTCATGGTGTCTGGTTGGGAATCATTGTCCCACCTGGGCTGTGACATTGTGTCTGTCCCCAATAAACCTGACTGACACCCGGGAGTGACAGAACAAGGCACTTTGGCATCTGTACCATGCCCTGGTGACAGCGCCTGGTGACCTGAGCTGGACATTGGGTCACAGTGAGGAGACCTCAGCCCTCTGCCCTTTTTGGGAATAGTTGGATAAGGATTTTCATAGAATGAAATCCTGGCATCATTTAGGTTGGAAAACGATCTTAAAGTGGTCGAGTTTGAGMATTTTCCAGCTGGAAATTCTTGCACAAAGTCAGGCTGGGGAAGGATGCTGCCAAAGGGATGGAGCACCAAGGGCTGTGCCCTGGAGACCCAGAACATTCCTGTTCCTSTTGGAGGAGCTGTGAATCAAACAAYTCCTGGCTTCTGATGGAAATAAATCCATGGCCAGTGCCCGAGAGGGTTCCTCTGCCTCTCACCAGGGGTTGGTCCCTGGAAAACAAATCCCTGCTGTTCACTCACGTTGGGATAAATCTGCCCCAAAACCCCAGGACCTGCACGTTTATCCAGCTCCTGGGATGCTTTGGTGTCCATYCCCTCTCCAGGGAATAAAACAGCCAAGAAAAGCCCAATCCTGTCAGCATAAGCAGCCCCTGGAATGTCTCCTAGGCAGTTGAAATGCTCACTGTCGATCCCTTCCAACTTGAATAATCTTTTATCCCATCCCATCCCACCCCATTTGGGCCAGCACCCTGAGCATTCCTCACCATGGAGCGTCGGAGGAGGCAGAGCCACCCCAAAACTTTCCTGCAATTCACGGGAGCCCCTCACCCCTCTCCCCACGGCCCCACCCAAGCAGACCGCATGAAACACATTTTAATGTTGCCAAGACAACTGTGTTGACAAAATTCCCTTTTTTTTAGCTGCCAGAACCAGGGTTTTGTCGCAATTTGGAGTTTGGGGCTGAGCA